TGGGATTAACAGCAAAAGTAGGCGAGACACTTGGTTCCGCGGAACCCTTACGAATTTTTGACTTTGAAACTTTGCTTAGTTTACATGTATTAGTTTGTGATTAGGTCAGTTTCTGGTGAACCACTAGTGGTAGGTCAATGATATTTAGTATGCAGTTGTATAAGCATTGGCATATCTCATTTCCATGAAGATTATTTGGCCACACCCCCTCTGTCATGGTCTATTGACTTTGACATTTTTGCTTAGTTTTCATGTATTAGTTTGTGATTAGGTCATTTTCTGGTGAACCACTAGTGGTAGGTCAATGATATTTTGTATACAGTCGTATAAGCATTGGATTATCTCATTTCTATGGAGATTATTTGGCCACGCCCCCTCTGTCATGGTCTATTGACTTTGAAACTTTTGCTTAGTTTACATGTATTAGTTTGTGATTAGGTCAGTTTAAGACGAACCATTAATCTTAAGTCATTGATATTTGGTATGCAAAAGTACTGGTATTTGCAAGTTTCTTTTCCACTGAGATTATATAACCCCACCTCCTCATTATGGTTTATTGACTTTGAAACTTTTGCATAGTTTACAAGTTAATGTTTGTGTTTAGGTTTGTTAAAAGAGAATGACACATGAAAAGTCAATGGTATTTTAATTTCAACATATGCATTATCAAAATAACAAATAGGCGAGACATATCTCTGTGTTAACAGTATATTGTGTTTTGGTCTGTTTTTCAAATACTAATAGCAATAGGTCAACTATATTTGGTGTGTGGAATAATTGTAAGGTGCACATGTCTGTCTGGCAGGTATCTTCTGACCTTGACTTAATTTTTATGGTTCATTGTTCAATGTTAAGTTTTTGTGTTTTGGTCTGTTTTCCAAATACTAATAGCAATAGGTCAGCTATAATTGGTGTATGGAATAATTGTAAGGTGCACATGTCTGTCTGGCAGGTATCATCTTACCTTGACCTCATATTTATTGTTCAAAGGTCAATGTTTAGTTTTTGTGTTTTGGTCTGTTTTTCAATTAGCATACGCAAAAGGTCAACTATATTTGGTGTATAAAAAATTGTAAGGTGTATATGTCAGTCTGACACAAGTTACCTGACCTTGACCTCATTGACAGACATTGTCATAGATTTTCAAAAACGTTAAGTTTCTGTAATGCTTTTAGTAAAACCTTTATCTTTAAGACTTTCAACATAAAATCAATGGTTAGTAAAGCAGGCCAGACATTTCAGTGTGTGCACTCTTGTTTTTATACGACTGCAAAAAAATTTTGCGATTGTATATTGGTATGACGTTGGCGTCGTCGTCCTTGTCTTCGTTGTCTGGCATCGTCGTCGTTGTCGTCGTCGTCCGAAGACACATTGGTTTTCACACTCTAACTTTAGTTTAAGTGAATGGATCTCTATGAAATTTTACCATAAGGTTCAATACCACAAAAGGAAGGATGGGAGTGATTTTGGGTTATGGTACCAACAGTTAAGGAATTAGGGGCCAAAAAGGGGCTAAAAATAAGCATTTTTGTAACTTCCAGACATAACTTGTGTGTTAGTGTATGGATCTCTCTGACATTGTACCACAAGGTTCCATATCACAAAGGGAATGCTTGGATTGATTTTGGGGGTAATTGCCTCAAAATTTTAGGAATTAGGGGCCAAAAAAGGGTAAAAAAACAAGCATTTTTATATGGACAAATAATTTAATACAAAACATAATTTAAGCAGTGAAAGGGAGATAAATCAAATACATCATTTGAATTACCTCCCTTACACTGCTTTTAAATTATGTATAAAGTAATGGTTAATGAACAATTAAGACAATTTAAAACAGTGTAAGGGAGGTAATCCACATACAACGTTTTGATTACTTCCCTTTCACTGCTTTTAAATTATGTTTAAAGAAATGCATATTTATAAAGGAAGACCAGTAAAAATATCTGCAAATGTTGCATCTTTTTTTTTTTTTACAAAAAAATCCATATGAAAGATTTGACACCATATTTTAAATTCTATTATAAAATAATTTAAGTTAGCACTATGGTAAATTTAAATGGGTAATTATGGTTGCAAATTCCATTGGAAATTTGAATTGAGATTGTGACCATATCTTGAAGGAAAGAATTTTTTGGGGGGAAAAGGGGTGGGGGGGAGGGGGGGGGGGGGGGTAAAAAGAAATTGTGGGGGGTCAATTTTTTCTCATTTCAGATTTCAGAAATTAAAAAGAATTATTCTTCAAATATTATTTTTTTTTTCAAATTTCAACTATTGAAAAATTTCAAGAAGTAATCTTTAATTGCACAGTATGGCGCATTAGATATGTAAAATCTTTGACCACATTTATTTATTTGTTATGCCAAATCTGACCGTGTATTTAGATTTTTAATTTTAGGTCTAGTTTTCAAATCGGTCTACATTAAGGTCCAAAGGGTCCAAAATTAAACTTAGTTTGATTTTAACAAAAATTGAATATATGGGGTTCTTTGATATGCTGAATCTAAACATGTATTCAGATTTTTGATTTCGGCCCAGTTTTCAAGTTGGTCCAAATTGGGGTCCAAAATTAAACTTTGTTTGATTTCAACAAAAATTGAATATATGGTGTTCTTTGATATGCTGAATCTAACCATGTATTTAGATTTTTTATTTGTGGGCCCCGCTATCAAATTGGTTCATATTGAGGTCAAAAGGGTCCAAAATTAAACTTTGTTTTATTTCATCAAAAATTGAATTATTTGGGTTCTTTGATATGCCAAATATGACCGTGTATTTAGATTTTTAATTTTGGTCCCGTTTTTTAAATTGGTCTACATTAAGGTCCAAAGGGTCCAAAATTAAACTTAGTTTGATTTTAACAAAAATTGAATTCTTGGGGTTCTTTGATATGCTGAATCTAAACATGTGTTTAGATTTTTGATTATGGGCCCAGTTTTCAAGTTGGTCTAATTTGGGGTCCAAAATTAAACTTTGTTTGATTTCAACAAAAATTGAATATATGGGGTTCTTTGATATGCTGAATCTAACCATGTTTTTTGATTTTTGGGCCCTGCTATCAAATTGGTCCACATTGAGGTCAAAAGGGTCCAAAATTAAACTTTATTTGATTTCATCAAAAATTAAATTCTTTGGATTCTTTGATCTGCTGAATCTAACCATGTATTTAGATTTTGGATATTGGACCATAATAGGTAAATTAAAAAAATTTAAGTTCTTAGACCACATTCATTCTGTGTCAGAGAATTCAGAGCTGTATCAAACTTGAATGTTGTGTCCATACTTGCCCCAACTGTTCAGGGTTCGACCTCTGCGGAGTATCAAGCTGCGCCCAGCGGAGCATTTTATTTAAATTTTCATTGAGAATTATAATTGTAATCTTTATAAAAGCTACTTGCCCTATTATATATGAAGAATTTTAGTTTGTGGTAACATAGTTTGATATCAGCAGACTTTGCACACTTCTAATACTTTTAGAGGTCATGACAAAAATCAACATAGATCAACTCCTATTACCTGAATAGGATTAGCTGATTTTTTAATCCCAAACCTAGATATCTATTTATAGCAGAGTTTCAACATAGCCAAAGTCAGCTTATGATATGATGAATGCTGTCAAAATCTTTTGAGTCATAAACAATAAAGTTTGATGATGTCCAATTGGGTGAAGAAGATATCTGTTGATTTTGAGGTCACTAGGTTAAAGGCAAAGGTCACAGCAGCATTTGATAAACTGATATTTAGTCAAAGTTTTTGTTCTGGAAGATATCTTTTGAACTATTGAATACCCCTATTGATTATATAACCCATTCACCCTAAGTCTGTCTGTAGTCATGATTGCAGCAGTCATTCCTTTATAGTCCAGAAAAGTTCATATACACAAGCAGGAATTATGTGGCCAGATAAATTGTGGTCTGTAAAAACTAGGTAACTGATTTGTCAGAAATCTGTAAAATATGACTTTTTGGCAGACCTGGCTTGCCATTAATGTTTCCTGAGCTAGACAATGAAGTCACATTGACCTTCAGTCAAGATGAATGGGTTGCTGTAACTACAATGTAATAATTGAATGACGAAGAAACACAGTTTTGTCAGTTATCACCTCTGAAGGGCGAATCAAATAGAAAAATGTATGCCAACATGACACCTTCCTCCCCAATCCCCTCCCATGCCATCCACCCCCAAATGACAATAGATAGATTTATATAGATCAGCATCAGTTACATTATGAAGAGTTAACTTGTTTGTGTATACATAGAATAGAGAATGGAAACAGGCAACAACCCAACAAAAGAGCAGAAAACAAGGCCACCAATAGGTCTTTAATGCTGCGAGAAAATGCATGACATGTTATTTGCATAGTTTAGCAAATTTTGGCAAATTTTGGAAAATGGCAGTTTCCAGAATCCTCACTTTATTGAACAAGGGGGTTAGGTTTGTAACATCTGTGATAAGATTTCTGATTAACTGATTTTTAGGAGTGCAGTATAAATGTTATCCACTCTAGTGTATACACCCTAACAGCACAGTTTATCAAATTGTGGTATTCTATTTTCCACTGAAGCAAACAAGACATATCTCTTTATTAACTGATTGTTAGTGTTTAAAGCCACATTTAGCACAGTTAGCTCTATTATGTTGGTCAGTTTTTACCTCTGGCAGGTAAACAGGCAATCCTAGTCAGTTATTAAAGATAGGAGTAGAACACACCTGCTAAGTGCAGGGTTGGAACTCACAATCTCATGCAGTGTTGACAGGCTAGTGATACAGAAGATAAGCTACTTTGACCACTCTGCCACTGAGGCCCCTTATCTTTCCTTATTAACAGTTTATATAATTTGCATAAAAAACTACTGAAAATTCAACTATTAAAAGTAAAGGTAATGTTGCAGATTGACAGCGCTTGAATATTTTAGCACAGTACAGCGATAAAAAATTAATTGATAGATAAAGAAATAGATAAATTGAATGAAGTTTCTTAAAGAAATTTTCCTTTCATTTAGGTAGCTGAGCCTGTCCCTCCTAATGTTACACAGGTAGAGGCATCCAGTGTAGAGGCCAGTCCTTCCCCATGGGCAGTGTTTGCTGCAGGTAAGTTTTAACTGGTTTTTTCTTGGTTGGACATCAAAATCTGGCTTTAATTTCCAAAAAGGTCATATGATCTGCAATAACTTGAATAGTTAAGGTTCATAAATGATCGCATGTGATATGACCTTTTGTGAAAAACAAGCCAAGAACAGTCATGAGGTAAAGATATCAGTTATTCTGTATTGACAGTGTTTTTAATGCTGATATATCTCATTTGAGCATATGCAAACTTAATTAGAACTACGAATGTACATGTGAAAGTGTCGGTTTTGAGGGACCAACATATTTTTCATAGGTTGTTTTATTTCAAATAAGTCCATTCATCATTGCAGAATCTCAAGCATTCTGGGTAATATATTCATAAGTGTACACCATCATGCTGTGATGGGTTAAAATGTCCTCAACAATGAAAATTCAACCAATGAAGTGACATGTTTTTCATTTTGTGGCACAACCAATGAAGTGACATGTTTTTCATTTTGTGGCACAACCAATGAAGTGACATGTTTTTCATTTTGTGGCACAACCAATGAAGTGACATGTTTTTCATTTTGTGGCACAAGCGATGAAATTACCCATAAGTCCTTTAGATTCTGAGGATACCGTTACCAAGGTTTTCATTTCAGAACACATGTATAGCCTTCTAATGTAGAGGCTAACTCAGTTTTAATGTGCAATACTTGCTTTGAATTCCTTGAATCAGGGCTCTTGCTACTGGCAGACTTGGGCATAAAGTTGCCTTCCTGTTTGTCTCTTTTCATTTGCAGGCTATCATAAGAGATATCATGTCATTCTGGTGTTCTAGTAGTCTCTCGTCATCAATAATTTTCTGTTTTGATGTAACAGCTATCAATTATCAATTAGTTGATAATTGATTATTAATGTATTTTTTCTTTTTTATTATGCTCCCGCTGTAGCGGTGGGGGCATTAAGTTTTACCCTTGGTTGTCTGTATGTACGTACGTCCTTCCGTAAGTACGTTCGAAAATTAGTTTCCGTTCTCTCACTTGAGTTTGCCTCAACCAAATGTTATGAAACTTATACACAATGCTTATTACCACGAAACACAGATCAAGTTTGATTTTTGGTGGCGTCACTTTCACCTTTCTAGAGTTATGCCCCTTTATAAATGGAAAAATTGCCAAATTTTTAGTTTCTTCTAAATATCAAGTAATTTTTAAAATTGGAGTTATCTTCCTTTATCCATGACTATAGTTGAATCAACTACAATCAATGCTTTATACAATGCAATGTTTAATTTTGAATTCCTCTGATAAAACACAGATCAAGTTGAATTTGGGTAGTGTCACTTTAACCATTATTGAATTATGCACCTTTATAAATCGAAAGATTGTAAAATTTTGAGTTTCCATTCTGTTACTTAAGTTTGCCCCTACCAAAGATTATGAAACCTATACACAATTTTCATTACCACAAAACTAAGATCAAGTACAAATTTTTTGTTTCCGTTTTCTAACTTTAGTTTGCCTCAACCAAATGTTATGAAACTTATACACAATGCTTATTAAGTACGAAATTTGGTGGCGACACTTTAACCATTCTTGAGTTATGTCCCTTTATAAACATAAAAATTGCTGAATTTTTTAGTTTGTCTCAACCAAATGTTATAAAACTTGTATACAACCGTTCTAGAGTTATGCGTGTTTACAAATAGAAAAATTGCTGAATTTTTAGTTTCTGTTCTCTACTTAAGTTAGCCTCAACCAAATGTTATGAGACTTACACATAATGCTTATTACCACAAAACTCAGATCAAGTTCAAATTTGGGTAGCATCACTTTTACCCTTCTTCAGTTATGTCCCTTTATAACTATATGATATGCAAGCGGGGGCATCATCTGTGTCCACATGTGTCCACTATCCACATGTATTTATTCTTTAGTGTAGAAATTTTGACAATAATACCATAAATATATACATGATATAGTTGATTGACTTGTGAAAAAAAAATATAATTATGTGTTACTATTAAAGGCATTAGAAACATTAGATTCGTACTAAAATAAAAGAAGAAAAAAGGAGCGTACAAATGGCTAAATAGGGACTATTTATTCAAGCGACACTGAGATGAGTAAACAAGCACTTTTCATTAAATTATCACCACTTCTCTCTGTCAGTTTAAAAAGAGAAGTCACTTCTGAAGTAGTGTGAGCTCTGTGAACAACAGCTGTTACTTATGTCCAGGCAAAACCATCAAATTATTATGAAATATAAAGGTTAGCCCTTCTCCATTTACTGCTTGTATACAGACCATCAATCATGGTTTGGAAGAGGGAACTGGATTACTGTTGTTAGATGTTGAGTCATTTTGCATTGACTGGATTTGTTGAGGATTTTTCATTGTACAGTTGACCCAGCATTAGAAAGAAATGAAAGTTAGAGACTGCAGGGAGTTATATGAAATACATGTGTGATTGTCCCAAGTCTGGAGCTTGTCCCAAGTCAGGAGCTTTTTTTGTGTTGATGTGTCATTAAGCATATTCCCCAAATCTCCTTAAATTTATATTCTTGTTAGCAGTAGTTTATATTTGCCTAATCTGAGATAAAAGTCGTTTTAGTTTTTGAATTTTCGAAAATTATGAAATATGTAAAGGCAATAGTGAAACAATACATGGTAAATCTTCAATACGATAGAATCTCTAAAGTGGATAACTTGTGTATGCAGGGTTGTTACAAAACATGTCAATCTTATTATATTACTGCAGCAATCCCCAAAGTGTTGTTGTTATAAAAAACTTTACAAAATGTAATGTAATATATTAGCAATTGTAGTTTATGCATGTAAATATTTGCAGTTACAGTATCTTATAACAGAATATTTTGATAGGTTTAAAATTTCAATGTTTGAAAATTTTAGAATGGATGAATTTTAGTATTTTCAATTTGGGTAATTACAGAAACGGGGAAATAATAAATTTTATTAAATGTTAGTAATTTGTAATCATTTATTCATGCAACACTCACAACCATGTTTTATAACCCTACCACGTTCTTTATGTGCCTGTCTCAGGCCAGGAGCCTGTAACTTGGTGCTTGTCATTGCCGGTGCATAATCAACTATTTTTAAAGGAGTTATGCCCTTTGGAAATATTATTTATATGGAAAATTGCAATTTAAGTGCTTTCAAGCCTACATTTCTTGTAGAATTGTTATGGAATTTTTATCAAAGATTTATATCACCAATGTCTAGGTTGAGTTCTGATGAATTATTTGTATATCCTTGGGAAATGTAAATTCTATAGGAAATGTATTGTATGTGTTTTCAAGCCATTTCTTGTCATATTTTATGAAACTTATATAATTATATCATTTTAGGTAATTATAATAAGCATGGTCTTGGAAGAATTTGATAATCAGCTCTGAACAGTTTTTTTATTACAGGAATAAATGTCTCTTGAAAAAAGAAATTAAGCACAAGGTTCCATACCACAATAGGAGGGTGGGATTGATTTTGGGGGTTATTGTCGTAACTGTTTTGTAATTAGGGGCCAAAAAGGGTCCAAAAAGAATTATTTTTCAGGTTTGCAGAAAATAACTTGAGTACAAGTGTATGGATCTCAATTAGATTTTAGCACAAGGTTCCATACCAGAATAGGAAGGTTGGGATTGATTTTGGGGGTTATTGTCGAAGCTGTTTAGTAATTAGGGGCCAAAAAAGGGCCAAAAACAAGTATTTTTCTTGTTTCAGGACAATACCTTGTGTATTAGTATATGGATCTCTATGAAATTTTACCACAAGGTTCCCTACGTCAACAGGAAGATTGGGATTGATTTTTGGGGTCATGACCCAAAACGTTTAGGAATTAGGGGTTGAAAAAGGGCCAAAACACTAGGATTTTCTAGTTTCTTGACAATAACTTGAGTTATGGTTTGCTATTTAATTGTGCCACAAGGTTTTATACCATAAAAGGAAGGTTGGGATTGTGAATTTTGGTTTTGGGTCCTGTTATTGAATTGGTCCATATGAAGGGTCTAAAGGGTTCAAAATTAAACTTTGTTTGATTTCATCAAAAATTGAATTATTTATTGTTCTTTGATTGCTGAATCTAACCATGTATTTAGATTTTTAATTTTGGGGCTTGTCTTCAAATTGGTCCACATTAAGGTCCAAAGGGTCCAAAATTAAACTTTGCTTGATTTAAAAAAAAAAAGAATTATTGGGTTTCTTTAATATGCTGAATCTAAGGGTGTATTTAGATTTTTGATTTTGGTCACAGTATTGAAATGTTCCAAATTGGGGTCCAAAATGAAAGTTTGTTTGATTTCATCAAACAATGAATTATTGGTGTTCTTTGATATCCATAATCTAACAGTGTTTTAGATTTTTGATTTTGGGCCCAGTTTTCAAAGTTGTCCATATTACATGTATTAAGGTCCAAAGTATCCAAAATTAAACTTAGTTTGATTTTAACAAAAATTTAATTCTTGCGGTTCTTTGATAAGCTGAACCTAAGCATATAATTAGAATTTTGATTTTTTTGCACAGTTTTCAAGTTGGTCCAAAATTAAACTTTGAATATATTAGGTTCTTTGATATGCTGAATCTAACCGTTTATTTAGATTTTGGATTTTGGGCCCTGTTATCAGATTGGTCCACATTGAGGTTCAATGGGTCCTAAATTAAACTTTTGTTTGATTTCATCAAAAATTGAATTCTTGGGTATTCATTGATATGCTGATTCTAACTATGTATTTAAGTTTTGGATGTTGGACCATAATAGGTATATGTCCAATTTCAAATTTTTCAGTTCTTTGACCACATTCATTTTGAGTCACAAACCTATGCTGTGTCAAATATTCAATAGCAATCCAAATTCAGAGCTGTTTTAAGCTTGAATGTAGTGTCCACACTTGCCCCAACTATTCAGGGTTCAACTTCTGTGGTCGTATGTATCAAGCTGTGTCTCTCGGAGCATTTTCTTTTATTGTTTTTAGCATAAATCCATAAATAGCAAAAATTAGTTTTCTCTTTTGAAATGTTT